GGCTAAATTCATGTAACGGTGGGAAGGTGGCTGGCGGCTCATAGATGACGGATTCACCACCCTGCTCCTCGAGGGTTGTCGCAAGCTAGTGGGTATGCATGTAAGACTCTGATATGTTCAAGGATAGATCAGTCGATGCATACCTGTTGCGCCGTATCGAGACTGAGGTCTTTCGAGCATATTATACAGATCTTGCACTGGTCGAAGAGCTGAAGCTCCTCTTCGCGGCCCACCATGGCGGGAATTAAGTGTCTTTACTATTAATTTCTTGTTGTATATAAGGTTCTGTCACTGTCACACAAGGAAGGGTTCAATATTGCTGGTTGACAGGTAGCTAAGATCGTGGCGGCGTTTTACTACAATTATGCGATGCGACGCGCCAACGCGCCGACACGACACCTGATCACGTGCATGTACCAATTACCATCTTTGGTGCGAGTGTAATCAAGTGACGCATTCGCAATCTACTATTCCTCTCTCCTAAAAATAACCAGTCCGGAGTTATCCATGCTGTCTGACTGAGTCTACCATGTTGAGAAAGCATAATGGCGATGGTAGCGACACCGTTCCTGTAGACGATACTTATCCCATCATGCAGTGTGCTACAGGAGTTCGCCGAATGTTTGTTCAAGAAGTGGGAAAGACGAGCCAGGTTCAGCGGTAGATTATCCAGATTGTTCATGATTGCTCCCAGATAATGCCCAGGAGACAACAGGTTTGTTTAACTAGTGTATAATGCAAGATAATAATGCAAAATGCTCGGCACTGCTTCTCGGGCCATTCAGAGTTAATTACGGGAATGCACCTCGGCTCAGCGATCCAGTCCACGGCAAAAGTGACCTGGGCATAGCTCCGCTACCCCAGACTATAAGCTGGGAACACTCCGCCTTTAAAAAGCCCCAGGCGGGCCCATGATAAACCGAAATTTTCCCAAATAGAAACTATACCTATGCGATGTCTTCCCCTACAAATTCCGGGCCTTTTCGCATTGTCGACCATGTGGTCGAATGCCAGCATATTCGGGAATATCCCGCGGCTACGGCTAACGAACAGGAAGATGAATTACATTTAGCTGTCAAGCAGTATATTCCCCTAGATAACCCTAATCCTCAGCCAGGTGATGTCACTATTCTGGCGACCCATGCGAATGGTTTTCCGAAGGTATTTACTTGCGTCCTCAAATGTGGCTTGCTGTTTAACGGAAATAGACGGCTAATGCTGTTTGACAGGAACTCTATGAACCACTCTGGGAAGAACTACATGCTCGGTCCAAAGCCAATGGCTTCCGTATCCGAAGTATCTGGATAGCCGACGTTGCGCATCAAGGGCAAAGCTATGTAAACAACGAGGATCTCTTGGGCAACGACCGTACGTAACAATGTCTCCGCTGGGTGCTACGATAAATCAGACGGCGAATAGTCTAAAACTAACACTGGCGCGCAAACAGCTAGCTGGTTTGATCATCCCAGAGACCTCCTTCACCTCGTCAACGTAAAGCGCAAGGAGATGCCTCGTCCGATCATTGGGATTGGTCATAGCTTTGGCGGTGCACACCTGTAAGTCTTCTGCAGAATGGAGCCGCGCAACTCTTCTTGACACCCTTCAACCATCACAGTGCGAAATTATGCCTGATGCATCCTCGACTCATCCACACTCTGGTGCTGCTAGACCCCGTTATCCAGCGACAAACGACACAGTTAGATCCCGTATCAGCCGACAAGCGAGAACTGGTTATAGCCAAAACTACCCAACTATCAACCTATCGACGAGATATCTGGCCTTCGCGCAAGGCCGCTGCGGAGGGTTTCAATCGAAGTCCGTTCTACCAAGCCTGGGACTCCCGTGTCCTTGACCGTTGGATTAAATACGGCCTGCGAGAACTTCCCACGGCTATTCATCAACTTCCCAACGAAGCATCGAAGGACGGCGAACAACCCGTCACTCTAACAACACCTCTTCACCAAGAAGTATTTACTTTCTCACGCCCTAATTACGATGGACCTCCGGGCAAAGATGTACCGGTCAATCGGGTAACACATCCCGATCTCGACCCCGATCATCTGGGATCTTTCCCCTTCTACCGCCCTGAGCCGTCACGTATATTCGCAGAGATCCCACACCTTCGACCTAGTGTGATGTACATATTTGGCGGTAAATCAGACATGTGTCTTCCCGAGATGATGGCCGACAAGATGGCCAACACTGGCGTAGGGTTAGGCGGCAGTGGAGGGGCAGCTGCGGGTCGAGTTCGTGACGTCTATCTCAAAGAGTTCGGACATCTCCTTGCCCAGGAAGCACCGACTGAATGCGCCGAAGCAGCCAGTAAGTGGTTGGGTCAGGAACTGCAGCGTTGGCGAGAGGAGGACCAGAATTTCCGAGAGCAGTGGAGTCGCAAGTCGAAAGTTGAGAAACTCACGATTGATCCGCGCTGGAAGGAGAACGTCCCCGCCCCCGTGAGGGGGAAGAAGGGCCCTTCCAAGCCGAAACTGTGAAGTTCACTAGACAGCCCGCAGCTACAGAGGAGTTATGCTGTCCTCAACAAATATGGCGTACATCGATGAGCTCCATATAGATTATCGGATAAACAACATGATCTTAAAGACCCTAAATCACGTTGTGAGCTGTAATACCATCTTCAATTTTCTCATCTTGTTCTCTATAATAATATGGTCCTGGCCAGGCCAAAACCAATGTCTATAATGAATAAGCAAAACATAGATGCCAGGGTCATAGTCAAGCCACCGTAGCTGCTGGCTACAATGCTCGCTCAAAACGGAGTAAGGATATAGTATCATCAATAAGAACAATCGCACTAGCCTAGTTTGATTTCTTGGCCACGCCATTTTCGCCCTTGTCTCTGGAGCTAATACGGATGATCTCGGGGAAGTTCCAGAAATGCGGCCACCACAGGTAATATTCCTCTTGACGATTGTTCAAGCAGTGGCGCAGCCAAATACCCCAAATTATATAGAGATACGCACCAATACCGGTCATAAGATGCCTAACAACAGAACAATGTTAGCAAGTACGGTACGAGCTCAGACCTGCGGCGGCGCAGAAAAGATAAAGAACCAGAGATAGTAGACATACCACCAGCCATGACCTTCAAGGAACATACCCCACGGAAGCCCCACTACCCGCCGCCATCCGCGGATCTTAGTGCAAAAGTGGTTATCCAAGTTCCAGATAAAGAAGCCGCCGAGGAACATGCTCAGTCCATAAATAACCATGAACCACATGGTCTTCAGAATCTTGACATCTCGCACATTCTCGTAATGTTGATGATCCTTCGAAGGAACGGGTAGGCCCTGTTTCTCGCGCGCTATCCGGTCCTCCTCGGTGGTGTGTCGCCATTTAGGGCGAAGGGTTACCTCCATGGTGTACATACTCCGCAGGACGACGACAATGGTCAGGAGAGCGTATGCATTCTGGTGGAAGACAGGGTCCTGAAGGTAGTGGTAATAGAGGGTGATGAAGACGGCCAGACCGGTCAGCGCAATGGCTAGGAATACACGGACGCTTGTCGGTCTCGAGTATGAGAAGGACGCATAGCACATCAAACATGTGGTGTAAATCATAGAAAGCTCGTCAACGAGTTGCATGGGATCTATCCGAGAAGATCAGGTTAGAAAGCTCGAGTTACCAATCACTCCTCGTAGAAGATATATAGAAATCTATCACTTACATTTCAGGGTCGAATGGAACAGGAAACTCCCCGTTCCAACTAGGAGATAACCATAGTACGCCACTTCAAAGATCGAATCATGTCCATTGCGCCTACAGCTGCGTAGCCCTTTGATTCCGAGCCACATAAACAGAAGGTTTGTCAGAGCGTTGACAATCTCGGCGGAGTAGATGGTCACATAGTAATCCTAGTTTTATGAAGACATTAAGAGTGAGTTGAGCAGAAAAAAGGACCAACAAAAAGGTTGGACACACCTCCTCGCACCAATTCAAGGTCGACGTAACGGGGTTCCAGTAGCCAGCCTTGGAAGGCGGATATGGAAAGAAGGGAAGGGCAGGCCACTCAGGCATTACGGGCAGAGACCGACTCCGGCTGTCCACGGATGATGGTCAATCTCTGTTGTGACGGGGTAAGTATCGGGAGGAGTTATGAGAAAGAGGGCATGGCAGATACAAAGAGGGGAAAAAAAAAGAAAAGTGACTGTACAAAGGGAGAGGCGTCGACTGGCGTTCGTGGAGTTACTTTGTACCTAAACTAACTTGACATCCGTTCGGTTCATCCAGACCCGTGACGTCGATTGATTACGACTGGGTCAAGCATCGCAGGCTGTCAATCCGCATTTACAGGAAACCGATTGGCTAGCCTGTGACTCCGCCAACTGCCGAATCATTTCTTGGGCTTTGTACTTGGTTACTGAGTGCGGGTGCAATTTTGACTTTGCCTTAGTTATGGATGCATCCGGCCTACAATACAAAATTCGTATTGCAGATCCCTGGATGAGACATTGAACGAAGGGTAAATTGAGTCAAGAGTCATTCCCCAGGATTGCTGCGGGAGAGTTCAAGGCTGGGTTCGTCTAACAGTAAATCGTCTCCCAATTGGCAGAATTCCACACATATACCTCGGTACATCCATGGATGGGTACGCACTACTAGTAGTGTCGCAGGCCTGACTGCACCCAAAATACTACATGGACACCAACTGAAAAGTCTCGTGGCCGGGGATCGTAACCCGTTTGGCATAAAAGTTAGGTAAGCCGATGTACTGTAATTCTGTCGTACTGCATACCTCCCCGCACCAAACTGATTACTGTATTTGAGTACCGGAAATACACCGCATGTGGCCATCTGAAACTGTATCCGGCCAATCATAATTCGGAACGGAGCTCTGATGACTTCACCAATCGCGATGTTCGAGAGGAAAAATACTACCGGCAATTCCGTTTTTCTGGAACCTCACATCGTACCTGATCTGAGTAGTACATGTCAGATCTAACCTTTCCAATTCTTCATCACTTTTACTGTATCGCTTGAGATGTGGTTTCTGCCGCCCCTTTCGTGACTGTGACCGCATTCCGGTCTCTCGCAAGATTCTCGTCATCTACGAAAAAGCGGTGTCCGTTGCGGATGAATTGAATCTGCTGTGATACTCACTGTCTGATCAACATTTCAAGCACATAACTTCGTTCCGTGAACTTTCCAGGCTGGGCCTGTGGATAACCTTACGATGTCGAACAGCGCTGCATATGCAGTACCGCAGGTGAAAAAGACCTCTGCCACTACGAGTATGTTCCTCGATTTGACGGCCTCGCTTCACTCTCTTTCTTTCTTTGGCCCGCTAGAGAAAACTACAATTTTTGTCGTTAGACCAAGCAAAGTGACTCTTGTCTAATTTTCTGGCAGCATCAAAAACCACCTTTCATTTCGCCGCCGGCCTTTGTTCCGGCCTCAGCTCCGCCATCCTCCTCCAGCCAGCAGACCTCCTCAAGACCCGAGTCCAGCAGTCTCAGAACGCCGCGCTTCTACCGACCATAAAGTCCATTGTCTCTTCTCCGAATGGAATTCGTGGCTTATGGCGTGGAACCCTTCCCTCCGCCCTCCGCACAGGTTTTGGCTCAGCGCTCTATTTCACAAGTCTCAATGCCTTACGACAAGGTGTAGCGCATACCGGAGTTCCAGTGGCCCTCTCCAACGCTAGCGCAAACGGTAAAGGTGCGGTGTCTTCGTCTGCTCTTCCGAAGCTGTCGAACTCGGCCAACCTTGCCACGGGTGCGGCCGCTCGCGTTGCGGCGGGATTTGTGATGATGCCCGTCACCGTACTGAAAGTACGCTATGAGTCGAGTTATTACGCATATGGCAGCCTGTACAGTGCAGGGCGCGATATCCTCCGCACAGAAGGTGTGCGAGGCCTTTTTGCTGGATTTGGGGCAACTGCTGCCCGTGATGCCCCGTACGCAGGGCTCTATGTTCTTTTCTATGAGCAGTTGAAGCGGCGCTTCGCATCACTGGCCGACTCAGGAACTGGTGACCAATCGCTGAAGTCATCATCCTCATCAATTAACTTTGTCTCTGGAGCATTGGCGGCTGGCCTTGCTACCGCGATCACTAATCCGTTTGATGCGGTCAAGACTCGACTGCAACTTATGCCCAACAAGTACGGAAACATGATGCGGGCGGTGAAGATGATGATTCAAGAAGATGGCATGCGGAGCTTATTGGGCGGCTTAGGGTTGCGTATCACCAGAAAAGCGCTAAGTTCAGCACTCGCTTGGACAGTGTATGAGGAGCTGATTCTTCGTGCGGAGAAGCACTGGGCATCAAGAGACTAAGCGCTAGGTGTCTGTATAACAAATAACCTATTTCTTTCCTTTGCTTGAGCATTTATTTGGGAGTTTGGGTTGGGTGATAAAGGAGTTTGGGTATACATCGTGGCAATCATCATTGTATCATATATAGGTGCGATCATATATCATCAGAATCCCAACTCATGACGAAAAAAATGAACATCAACACGAAACATTTCAGGTCCAACAAGTCATCAAAGTTTACAAAAAAGCCAATAGACAGCTCGGACACCAAATCCTAGGCCATGAAAAGCAGACGTATAGAGGTATCACTTGCGTTTCGCAAAACAATTCAATCGGCTGATCAAGTAAAAATCCATGCCCGCCGACTGGGGCTCTTCTTCCGCACAAGGTACATCTTGTCCTTCTTCCTGTCATTGACCTTCAACTCTGTCAGTGTATTGGAGGTCTGGGTAATGAGTTTGCCTTCGCGAAGTCGGCGCGTGTGATCAAAGAGCTCTTCCTGGAAGTCTTCCGAGATCCATTGTTTGATAATTATATAGTTGCTATCGCGCTGTTGACACCTGTCAGTTAGCATTGCTTACTTCGGAGATATCAAGCCTTCGAGGGCACTCACGTCATCCCAGTCCCAGGGCAAGTGATAGGCCATGAGAGTGTCAGGCAGAAGATGTCTGCGGTGGACCTAGACGCTGATGTTAGTTTGGCCAGACACGGAAATTTTTGGCAGTTCGGTGGCATACCTTGATCCAAGTCGTCCGGCGGTGTTCTTCCTTCTCTTCCTTTTCACTTTCGTCGTCGTCGTCCTTCTCCTTCTCCTTTCCCTTCTTCTTCTTCTCCTTCTCCTTTTCCTTCTCCTTCTCCTTTTTCTTCTCTTTCTCATCTCCCTTGCCGTCTTTCTTCTCTTCCTCCTTCTTTTTCTTTTTGGTGATTATCTCTTCAATCTCTTCCTCCGTGTAACCGAATTCGATCCTCAATCGTGTCCTAAATTCTTCGTCACGTCTCCGCTTCGCTTCTCTTTCGGCAGCGATCCGCCGCTCCTCGTTCAATTTCCATTCCTCGATGGCCGCTGCCTTCATCGCAGCTTCTTTACGTTCTTTCTCCTGTTTTACAAGCAGAGCTCTCGCCTCCTCATCTCGGATTTCTTTCTTGATTCGCTCGCGCTCCTCCTCTTCGTCAATCTTGCGCTGAAGTTCCTTGAGCTTTTCTTGGCGGATCTGCTCTTTGAGTCGTTGCTGCGCCTCCTCCTCGTCGATCCTGCGTTGAAGATCCTTGAGCTTCTCCTCCCGCAGCTTCGATTTGACATCTTCATCCTCCCTAGCTCTGCGTTGGGCTTCCTCAAACTGACGCAACTTGTAGCGATGTTCTGCTTTGCGCTGCTCCTCCTCTTCTTCGATTTTGTGTCGGAGCTCCTTGAGCTTCTCTTCGCGCAGTCTTGATTTGACGCCGTCTTCCTCCCTAGCATGGCGCTGGGCTTCTTCAAATTGATGCAGCTTCCAGCGGCGTTCCGCTTGCCGCTGTTCTTCCTCCATGCGCTGGCTCTTCTCATACTTCTCAAGCCTCCTCAGTCGCTCGCTAATCTCATCCTCGTACCAGTCCTCCTCCTGCTTGAGGATACGAACATCATGGGAATCGCGAGCGTCACGGGCTTCAAGGCGATTGCGAGCCAATTCTCGTTCTAAGCGCTCTATTTCCTGCTGCTGTCTCAACAGCTCCAGATCTTGTCGGTGGTCGTTCTTTTCCAGCAGCCGCTGATCGATCACCAGCTCATAATCCCGCTCATGTTGCCGCGGTGACGCCTCTCGTGGCGTACTGGCAGTGCTGGCACGAGGACGTCGATGATGAGCACGCAAGAGGGTCTCATCTTCTGACTCGTAGGGATCAATGTAAGTCTCCTGGTGCTGGTCCTTACGGGCCTTGTTGGCACTTTTGTTGGAGCCCTGATTCCGTGACTCGTTTTTGATATCGACGATGACGGCCGGAGGTGGCGGGGGACGCTCGTGAGACCGTCGTCGCCGGGCGCCTGTGGATGCGGAGCGGTGCAGATGCACGTCCTGCACGACGGGACTCAGGTAAGTGTTGCTGCCGTGATCGGGGCTGAAACGATGACGGGAGAAGGAACGCCTCCTGAAGGACGTTCGGCGGCGGCCGTTTTCCATGGAATAGTCGGACTCTGAGTAGTCGGACTCGGAATCGGTCCATGGGACGATGTGTTGTTGTTGATGACGACGCATCTTGGTGAAGAGTATATTATTTGGTTTTGTGTCACCCCTCCCTTTTTAAAATTTTTTTTATTTCTTCTGGGATCAAATGGGCCTAATATTCTATTGTGTTTCCAATGATGACAGTTGGGATGTGAACTGTCGAAGCGGGGCGGTTTTGTGATTCAAAAGAGGAGACACAAGAAGTGACGTAGTGGGAAGAAGCACTTGGCAAACACAACTTTCCAAGAAACAGCTGTGGTGGGATTAAGAGACCCTAAGAAGGTGACAGGGGTCAAAAGCAAAGCACAAGGAGGGGTAGCCTCTGGAAGCGAAAGATGGGCAAATAATAAAGAAAGGTGAAAGATAAGCAAAGGAAGAAGAGAAGCGAAGAGAAATAAGACTGAGCCTCAGTGTCAGAGGGAAAGAAAAAGGACCAGCCCCCGTGCCTCGTAAACGCGGGCGGTCCAGCTGAAAAGTGGGGGACAAAAGACAAGAAAAGCCGTTTGTTATTCGACTGTCGTGATCGCTGGGCAGGAATCACCCATTGGACTGGCAGTTTGGGTTTTGGGGGTCAGGCTGATGATCCGCATCGGGTGGCCACTTGGTGACTTTATCTCTCTCTCTGTACGGAGTAGAAAAGGGGTTCTAGATATAACAAATGCCCATGGATGATAGGTATCTATTGATAGTACACTAGACAACATGAATTTCTTCGAATAAACCTTTACTAGGTAGTACCTACTCCTACTGACTCTTACCACCAACGGTACCCAATGAATCCTCCCAGCGCGCCTCGACAGCCCTAATTTAGTCCAAGTTCGTCCAAGCGCAACCTAACAAGCACGTCTGCAACCCAGCGGTTATGTGAAACATTCCCTTGACCTAGGCCGTCTTATCAAGACCCCTAGTTTATCCCTAGTACCTACTAGGTACTATACATAGATATTGCTACTATAGTAGATAGTCGGCCTCAATCAAAAACGAGTGGTAACGGCGACCGCCAACCAAGGAAAACAAGGCGGTTAATCCCGCGGAACCAAAACTCTCTTTGATCATCCATCGATCGATCTTCTGATAGATTGGTGGCATGCGCGTGACAGATAGATGTGGACGTTCTGTTACCTTCCAGTAGTTTCTTGGTGGAATTAATTCGATCAAATATGATGATCACTTGCATTTGCTGCCTGATACACATGACGTCGGTGGGTGTCATGTAGATGAAGGAAAAGTCAGTGACCGTCAGCCTTGTGGCGGGTGGGGAAAGGTTTTTAGTATTTAGTGCGAATTAGTACTAGTGAGGGGTTTGGGTAGGTTATCGGGGATGGTTTTATCTAAGATTGCCTACTCCCAAGTAAGGATGGGGTATCTATTCCTTCCGCTGTATTAGCATGTGGTCGAAGGTTGGTACCTGCTTCGGTGTGTATGTACTGATGTATTCTCCGGGAACTCGAACTTTCACCATTGGGCCGGCCGCGCCTAATTGCTGCAATGCTTCGCAAACTCTATCTCAATTTCCGAGACCCTTGCCTTCCTAAAGAAGTAAGCACATGTGTTGGTAGAGTAAATCACTATACTGTAGACAGTACACAGTCCAATCTGCTACCACAGCTCCCCCGGGCATTGTCTTTCTCCGTCCCCCTCCCACTTCCCACATGCTAACAGGACCCGCATCGCATCCCCTACCTAAACTCACATACACAGTGGTTAAGACAACCAAATAGAGTTTTCGACGTAATTTTTTAATAGACGAGCAGCTACTATATCTAAACCACGTCCACACCCAACATTATTTACTTCCTCGTCATCCCAGCACTAAAGTAGTACTAAGTCCATAACAATTACCTGCTACTAACCACCACTGCCACAATGACCACCCCCCTCGCGCCCCAGTCAACCAACCCCCAGCCCAACACCCCACTCCCAGACAACTCCAAGGCCGTACAATTGACCTTATCCATCTATCGCCCTCCCACGCGGAGGCCCTCTGGCCCCTCGTCGGCGGCACTTCCGACCCCAACAAAGCATCAACATGGACCTACCTCCCAGAAGGCCCCTACCCGGAGGCCGACTTCGACAAATTCCAAGCCTCAGTAACAACAAAATGCAGCTCCACTGATCCCCTCTTCTACGCCATCGTCGACAAGAGCCAACAAGTCCTGGGCTGGATCACCTTAATGAGCATCGTGCCTGAGCAACTAAGGCTCGAGATCGGGTGGGTGCTGTTCTCGCCTGCGCTGCAGCGCACGACGGGTGCGACGGAGGCGTCGTATCTACTGCTGAAGTATGCGTTCGAGGAGCTGGGGTATCGGCGCGTGGAGTGGAAGTGCAATGCGCTGAATGAGGGGTCGAAGAGGGCGGCGGAGCGGCTTGGGTTTGTGTTTGAGGGGGTGTTTAGGCAGCATATGGTTGTCAAGGGGAGGAATAGGGATACGGCTTGGTTTTCGATGTTGAAGGAGGAGTGGGATTCTAGAGGCGTTAAGGAGGCGTTGGAGGGTTGGCTTGCGGAGGAGAATTTTGATGAGTCTGGGGCGCAGAGGAGGGGTTTGGAGGGTATTAAGAAGGAGATTCTGGGGAGAAATAGTAAGAATTGATTGTCGAGTATGTGTATAGATGTTGGCTATGCACTACTGCGGGTATCGGAATCATAGGATGCTTTACTCACCTGTCAAATCCCTTGGAGTTTGGTATCAGAACTGTTTTGTCATAAGGTACATGGTGCAGGGAGTTCAGATGAAATTCCCTCCTTTTTCAATACTGTAATGGAATTGTAATTAGGCAAAGTGCTTTAGTTTGCGCTGAGTTTCATGTTCTTTATTCTTTAGA